AAAAAGCCAATTTTTATGTTTATAAAATATTTTGAATGAAAAATATTAAAATATGTACAAAATAAACCATTTTGAACACTTTTTTTTATTTCTTATCAAAAAAATATAGTTCTGGCATACACAATGTTAAATTTTAACTGACTTAATTTTGTGAATGCATCTTTTTTATTTATATGGGTATCTTAAGGTCAGTTTTTGCGCTAATGTTGCTAATGCACCATTTGAGCGAAAAAAAAATTGTTAAGGAAAAATTTTCTGTTCTCTCTTTCTTCTTCGATGGTGTTTATATGGAGATTTTAACTCAATGTAGGCTCTTTCTCCGAGTAGACTTGTATATGATCGCTAGGCGACCGATTAGCCGGCTGTATCGAACAGCCATACGTACGCGCGGGAAATAAATGCCTTCCGGGAGGACTTTTATGGGGAACTGGCCTCCTATTCAGTCGTTATAGGCAAGGAGAAAACCCGGAAAACTCCAAGCAGCCAGCCTGTCCGACCGTGGCGCGAACCCACGACGAACCTCCCAGTCTTTAGGGTCTGGTCACCACTACGATGAGCGGCAACGGAGACCACTCGCCCACTGGTAGGGGCAAAATTTTCTGTTAGCGAACCCTTTGTTATATATTTCGAATATCACCACTGTTGATTCACATTTTGTTTTTCTAAAATCAAGTCGAGATGTCTTTAGATAAAAACCGAAATCGGGTATACGAGGGGTGTTCAAAAAGTATCGGACCTTTATTTTTTCCGCGTAAACCAATGATGCATGGGAGGTCTCTTTCGGTGGATTTGTGGAGGGGACAGTCATGCACAGTCCTAAATTTTTTCCGCCTGCAGGAAGCGTCAGTCGCTGGCAGTCGGCCTATGAGTGAGGACGTGTAGCGAGCTCTCGTTGGATTCCACTAAGTTGGAGAATGATTGAACAACGTCAGCAGCGATATTGCATCAAATTTTGCCAAAGCTTGGCGATACCTAAGCGGAAACAATTCGAAAGATCCAGCAGGCTTTCGGGAACGATCCTCGAGGCCAAAAAAAGCGCGGCAGGTCCACAGCAATGTCAAGGTCATGTTGACAGTTTTTTCCGACTCCTGTGGTGTATCCTGAGTACGCGCCACAAGGCGAAACCATCGCAAAGGAATACTACCAGAAGGTCCTTCCTCGTCTTTGTGATGATGCGCGATGCAAACGACCGGATCTGTGGTCAACCAAAACTTGGCAGCTCCATCGTGATAACGCATCCGCCCATTCGGCGTATCTGATTCGGACTTTCGTCGCCAAACACAACATTCCTGTAGTTTGTCACGCTTCGTACTCTCCCGACATGGCTCCGTGTGACTTTTGGTTATTTCCCAAGCTAAAAATGCCGCTAAAGGGAACCCGATTTTAGTCAAGAAAAGACATCATGAGGAATGCAACAGACCGGCTGATGACCATTTCAAAAGATGCGTTCCAGCATTGTTTCCAGCAATGGCAGGGGCTCTGGGTAAAGCGTATACATTACCAAGAAGATTATTTTGAAGGGGATTAGGGTTTTGTACCTCAAAATCAATAAACGTATTTTTGTCGACCAAAGGTCCTATACTTTTTGAACACCCTTCGTATTCAGCTTTAAGAGTTTCAGAAAGGCTATAACGCCGTTGAAACAGTAAAATGTGTATGGGTATGATGTTTCTGAACCCCGAACATGTCAAATGTAGTTTAAAAAGTGTCGTTTGAGAAATTTTGAATTAAAGAATACAAAACAGTTCAAAACATAAAAAATTGCAGGAGGAAATTGTTCAAATTCTACGTATAATATAAGATGTATAACCAAACACCAAAACTAAAACGGAAAAAACACTAAACACAAAAGCGACTTTGAAGACCATGGATTGCATTACGCTTCGTGCGTATTTTCTCACTGTGCGTGAAGTTCAAAGTTTGAAGTATCGTTCGAACTTCAACGCATATTTTTGTCAAATTTAGCGTTAGAAGTTCGAGGTACGACTGTACTTAAAAGTGTTTGACAAACTTATTCTCTGTAAAATATGGCCTATGTCCATAAAGTTAGTATTAATATATATATATATATATATACGGATGTTTGTTTGTTTGTTCGCTACACACAGCTAGGTCGTTCAACCAATTGCTACGAAACTCAGCAATTACGTTCTAACTTCTATTTTAGATCATGTCGTAATCGCAACCCAAAATATCGATTGGATTTCTATGCTGTATATCAATTAATTTCGGTCACATTCGATTGTTGGTTTTACATGTAACGTCATCTATCGGAAAAAAAATTAACAAAAAATTTAACTATGTAATGGCTAACCAAACTAATATAATTTTAAAAAATATATATTATGTTCACTGAATTACTGCGACAATGATACAGCACGAAATAGAAGCGCCATCATATCTTTACTTAGCATTAGCCTGTGTGGTGTAGTAGTGTTTTGTCCCTTACATCATACTTTTTTTTTGTTAGCAATAGAGTCGTGCCGGTTATGTATTTAACACCTCAATAGAAGCCAGATTTACATAAAAGTCTTTCCTGGATGCATCTCCTAGGCAGATCACTCACG